ATTCATGAAAATTAATATTCAAGTGCTTTTAACCCGCCTGAACAACTTTCAATTAATAAATAAAGTTGATTTCATTTGTCCAAAGTGGAGATTATAGTGTGTTTGGAAAAAGAAGTTTAATTTAAAAAAATTTTATATAAAAAAAAATGTAATATAAAAATTAAGAACTGAGTTGACAAAAATTTGAAATAACATGAATTTTAAATTAATTCTTTCATTAATTATAAATTCAAGTAGTTTAAAAATAAAAATAGTAAAAAAAATATTTTTTATGAAATATCACAGTATTTTTTAAAAAAAATATACTTATAATTTAATTTGTAATTATGTAATATCCAAATATTTAATCTTACAAATAAAAAAAAAATGTAAAAAAAATTTTATAAAAAAAGAAAAAATTTAAATTTTTGAAAAAAAATTTCGTCTAACACTTTTTTAATTGATTATCACAAGATCTGCATGATCATCTTAATTTTTTTAACTCTTTGAAAATCAATAACGATCAAAAAATTAAATACAACTAGAATTTGGAGGACTTCGTCCCCCAAGCATATCATTTGTTCATATATGCCAATTTTTGGAATTAGTGCTTTTTGATTTTAAAAACAAACTTTACCAAATTACCAGTTGCACAAAATAATAATCTACATCAGCTGATATGAATAAAATTGTTCATACTTTTTTTAAAACACCATTATTAAAATTTAAATAATCAGAATAAAATTCTTGGAACAAAATTGCAAATAACTTGATGTCTATGTAAGATAAATGGATGAATTTATATTCATCCAAAAGAGAAAATTAAGACCTATCTAATGAATCCAAAAACAAATGAATTGATTCACTGGTTGTTGAGCAAATGCATTCAATATATTTTTTTTTTTAATTTTTATCTTTGATTGTTGATATCACCATGCCTAGTAATGCTAAAATAAAGTACATTCTTACCTTTCAAATGAGTTTAAAATTATTTGATTAGCATATGTGAATGCCAAGATATTAATGAACTTGTTAATTGCATAAACTGACATAAAGTT